TTTTTTTTTTTTCCTATTAGGTTGAGGTATGAGAAAACTTGCCTCTGAATTTTCTTATTCTAATTTCCACACATTGTTGCATTAAAAAAAGAAATCAGTTCTTTGACATCCTCCCTTGACATCTGCTTCTCATTTACAGAATGTTTATTTTTGGATTCTGTAGGAATGGGCAGCTTTTGGGGTGCATCTCACAGGTCTCAGCTCACCGCTTTCACCCTCACCTTCCTTCCACTGGTCTCACCTGTAAAGCCTGCAGATCCGAGAAGGTCCTGTCGGGGACCGTGTGAATGCTGTTGCTGTGGAGCATGAGCAGCTCCAGTCTGTTCAGGCCAGAAAAATCTGTTTCCTTCAATCTCACCAAGCTGTTGTACCTGAATTAAAAATGTCATTCTAGTCATAAACTGAGTCTGTCAACTGAAGTTCAAATGTCAAAGCAAAAACACACACACACAAGAAACCCCAATGCCTCTCTTGTTTTAACTGTGCTCTAGGGAGATAACCAAAGGCTTGACATATTATTGAAATTCATCACATGCCACAGAAGGTCCATTCTCCACCCAGTCCTTGCAGTCTCAGCTACAGTCACCCACTTCCCATTCCCAGAACTTGCCACATTCCCTTCTCATTTTTAAACCTTTATGTTATGCTCTTCCTTCAGGTTGGAATGTCCTTGACTTTTTCCATCTGTGAACACTATTAAGACACAGTCCACTCTTTTATGACGCTGTACAAGGTGGAATTCATCAGTAGTTGTAACTAGCTCTGGGCTTCTGGTTTGGGTATGATTATGAACTCAGGAACTTAGTAGTTGTGCAACCCTAGATAAAATCAGTAACTTTTCCGTGCCTCAGTCTCCTCATCTGTAAAATTCAGATAATAGAACCCACTCCAAAGGGGTTATGAGGATTACATGAATGAATACATACAGAGCGTTTAGCCCAATGCCAGCACCTAGTAGGCACACAAATAATATTAGCTATTATTATTAGTGACTGTTCTCAAGACATGCTGTATGCTTTATTACAGTTCTTATTAAATTATACTAATTGTACAACTGTCTTCTCCCTTTAACTATAGCTTTCAGGAGTGAATAATGTGTCTTGTTCATTGTCCCTAGTGCCAACCATTGTTTGTGGCACTAGCAGGTGCTCACTAATGCCAAATAAATGATGTTAAGTCCAACTGTATGCGCATTCACACACANAAAAAAAATAACTTGGTATTTCAAGTAAACTTAAGAACCTTAATTTTTCATGGGAGAGAATATATATTGATTTTGTTTTTTCACATTTATAATAGCTAATAAATATATGATGATATTTATATTTATATTGAATTATATCACTAAAAGATATAATTCACATGCCATAAAATTTACCTTTTTAAAGTGTACAGTTCATTGTTTTTTAGTATATCCACAGAGTTGTGCAACCATCTCCACTAATTTTAGAAAATTTTCACTACCCCCAAATAAAACCTGATAGACATTAGCGGTCATTTCCCTTCTTCCTAGCCATAGGCAACCACCAATTTACTTTGTGATTAGTGATCTTAAAATATGTGATCTTTTGTGTCTGGCTTCTTCCACTTAGCAAAATGTTCTCAAGAGCCATTCCTGTTGTAGCATATATTAGCCCTTTGTCCTTTTTGATTGCTGAACATTTCATTGTATGCATGTATCACATTGTGTTTATCAGTTCATCAGTTGATGGACATTTGGGGCATTTGAAACTTTTTGGTAATATGATTTTAATTGACTTGAGTTAAAATTAAAATAATTTTGAATATTTCAATAGTGCTTGGGTATTCACCAATTACCTTTCCAGTTACTAGTTTTGAATATACTCTTTCTCCCAGGAAGAAAAGCAAACAAATGCTGGTAAAAGGAATGATTTCTCATCATATTTTCCTGACTTGGTCTAAGCTGTCACTTCTGTCAAAGATGCTTTTCTGGAATGCCAAGTTCCCTAATAAGCAAGGAATAATTAAATTGGCAACATAAAAGAGCTTTGTCCCGAATATTGCCATGGAGTACAATCTCAAACTCAGCATTCCTCAATATCTTTTGGAAACCTGGACAAAAGAATAAATATATGTGGAGAATTCCATGACGGATATGCAATCCATGTAATCCTCTAAAGACACATTTCCGATAGAGCCTGATTAAGCCAAATCAACAGAGTCCCATAACTACTCTGTATTGTTACTCCCCACCACAGGTGAAACCCCCATTGTATAGCTCTGGTATGATGTCAAAAGGCTCTATGCATACGAGGGTACTTCAAAAAGTTTGGGGAAAATAGAACTAAAAGATCATATGAATCTTTTCATGAACTTTTTGAAGACCCCTTGTACTGGTACTTTATCATTGATAAAAATATTATTGATAATTAATTTTATTATACTTGTAAGATATCTCTATCTGATTTAAACTAGACATGGTTGTGCTCTTCCTGAACAGTACTTTTATTTTTAATTTTTTAAAATTTAGTAGATATCATGTATTGTGAGTTTCTTGAAAGCTTCAAGTCCTACTCATAACAGGCATAAAGGTCTCTACATATACTTTCCCTATATTCCCTTATTCTTATCCCTAGTCTTGTTTTACCTTTTATTTTCTCACTGGCTTATGTGATCATTTCTACAATATTTTATGCATTCTTGGAGTCCCCATAACTTTTTTAAAAAACTGGAATAAGGCAGAGCATAAACAAGAAAGTAAATGAAGTGAAACTGAAAAAAGTATATTGATTTATAGCAAGTGAATGTCTGCCTAAGATAGTCATTATTTTTAGGAACCACATTTGATTTTCATATAAACATGACTACAAGTAGCCTTTTAAATTAA